TTGGCCGTAGAAGCCACTGAAAAAGTTTGGCAGGCTTAATTCGGGACACCCTATAAATAAAGTTTCTGATAAAAAACGGCAGTCAAGAATGTTAGGCGATGCTGCTTCACTTCGAAGTCACAAAAGAAGTGGAAAATCAACAAAGTGTAGAGTTAACATTAAAATATGGAAATCAGGATTTCTTACAAAAATGGAATTGCAGCTTCTGGGAAAAAGTGAGTCATTTGGTCAGCAGCTAACGTGTTGTTGGAAATTCCTTGTCACAAGCTGTTACCAATGCTGGAAAAGATATCTATAGCAATAGTGAAAAATAACCTCCATTCAGCTTGTTAAGTCTATTGATAATCCATTATCAGAATTGGTAACGTGGATTCAATAAAATATCTTCGTAATCTTGGTTTAAGCATTGATCAAAACGTGAAGTAGAATAATCATCATTGTTTCGACGTGATTATTTGAAGAAATTGCTGGATGCATCTACTGTTGAGGTCACAGGTTGAGGCCGATAGTGATTCGTTATCTCAATGATGTTTTTGCTGCAACGAACTCGTGCTATCACCAATTTTCAATCGTATAATTAAACTCCTCAGATGATGCTCGCTCTAGTTTCAAGTGTCAAACCAGGGTCCCTAGTTTATAGTGCCAAGCCGGGATATCGCTTATTTTTCATTTGCCTTCGCCATCATTCACGTCAGCTTCGGTCGTGAATGTCGTCATATTCAAGAAAGAAACGGTAAAATGCGGGTGAATTCTTCATATACACGATGTTCTAGAATTTCACGGGAATCTAGCACGTGCTCATTCTTCATGACGAATATGAGATGAATGATTCATATCAATAGGGGTTCAAAGAGCCGAATGCTAATCTTTGAAAGGATGAGGATGCTGATTACTCCAATTCAAAAGTGGAGGTTCTGAAGAACTTAACAATGTGATTCTATCCAATGATAAGAACTCATCTTCCTCGAAATCTGTTCACTCAAGAGCATTGAAGCAAGTGGAACTTTTTTTGTGAATGATAATGGCGCTTCAGAATATGCTTAAAAAAAATCACGATTGCTTCAGTGGCATGAAAGTTCGGGGGGTTAAACCCTTACATGTTCATTACTTCTGACCAAATTGTGATGGTTGTTGAAGAATAGTATAAAAATCTTGATAGGAAGTTTCATTCCTGTCTAGAGATCATTCGTCGCTTTGCGTCTCTGTTAACTAACTAATATCACGACAGGAATGAATTTTTTCCATCTAGGTGTGTAATATACTATTTGTGCAAGTGACAGGACTGACAGATTGAGACGGCAGTGCAGTGACGAGTGACGGAACTGTACAAGGGCACAGCGTCGGGACAATTTGTTTGTTTATTGTTCGAATTGAAGTTGAAAGTTTCAAATGTGAATGATATAAATTACCATTGTTTAGGAGGTGGAGTAACTGGAGTCGATTCGTATTTATTTATTGTTGTCGATAGGTTTGTTCCAATGGAGAGGTAACTAATTGAATGATGAATTATCATGATAATATGAATGTTCTGTTTTTTGTGTTGTATTATTTCATCAGCTTTTTGAATTTTCTGCATCTTGTTCCGTCCAAGATATTCATTTTAAACCAATCACCTATGATTAGTCGAGATATCACTCTGTGGATAACAAACGGTAGTCGATTTTTTCAATAAATGGACAAGTTATATATCTGCCACTCAAATTTCCTGCGTTCTGTCGGTAAAGAAGGAATTCGGTAGTGTAGATTCAAATTTAGTTGCTAACCAAGTGATTCTTAGTATATTTGGCAACAGAAGCCAGCACAACCCTGCTTCGGACTGCTAGCTGGAGACAACCCTACGATGATGAGATACAAGAGAGGTCGAAACCGCTCTGAAGGTATCGTTGCGTTAATCTGGATAAATCGAAATCAATCGGCATTAGGAAAAGAAACCCTTGCATGATTTCCGGAAGAATGTAATTCGATATTCTGCGTAGCTTTAGCCAGGAAAATAGTTGGTTTTTTCTCGTCATCTACCATTATTGTACATTCTATAAACATTTGTACAGAACAAATGAAATTCAATATTCTGTGGGATCAGCCAGAAAAGTGGTTGTTTCCTGTTTTTGGATGTATAACATATTGATGATCATCATACAGGACGTGGAAAGGAATTCTGAATTTATATTATTATTCATCATTCTATCTACCATTGTTGTTCATTTCATGAACATCCGTGAAAATGACTGGGCTTATTTGTATTTATTTGACATTTCATTCTACTTCGTACTTGGAATTATACCTGATACTGAGACGATATAATCTCTAAATGTAACATTTATTGAAAATCAATCATCAATGCAACATTATCTAGAATCAATTGGAATTGAATAAATGAAGATAATGATAAGTAGGATTAATGAACGGAAATTGTTTGACATACATCATGGAGGTATAGTTTTGATGTGTCGATATAATAATAAACTTAGTAGATTGTTTATATTAACCCATTAGTGCATAATGTGTCTTATAATGGACGCTCCTTGTCTAATTTTTTGTGACGTCAATCATGCAGGAATTGAATGTTTCATGCACCAGAACTATAAGTGTAGTTCAACAACAAACAGCTATCGCTTCTATTTCATGAATTTGTATCTCGACAATATTCTGCACGTGATCAAATGGATAACAATTTGTATTGCACCCGACAAGGAGGGTAAGTATTTATTATGACGGGGTATAATGAATTTCAGAATTTCCTATCACTCAAGATCTCATTATATGCATGTGTTTATGAACCTATAAGGTAATTCGAATAATTATTTTTTTTGTAAGACACTCAAAATATTGCTTTTGTGTTGTGTCCATTATAATGGACTCTATGCATATCGGTCATCAAGATTTTTTTGTAGATCATTCTTGTAAACACCTCTTAGACATATGGAAAATGGCTCAGATATCGATCAACCAACAGATAATCATATATTATATTGCCTCCAGAAGAAAAGTTGGCAGAAATGCAGTTATTCGAATTTAGAAACTGTGAATCCATGATAAATCATATTTCTAAAGGAATTATCAAACAGCCGTGCGACTTTCGTTATTCTGATCCTGATTTTGATGAAATTGAAAATAATATACATCTTTGCATTATGAAATAGTTATTTATTATACAAGGGAAAAAAGTAGTAGATTTTAGCTCCAGGTTGTGTTGTCTCCCGACGCGTAGCGGAGGGAGACAAAAAACCGTGAGCTAAAATCTAATATTTTTCCCGTGTATAATACACTATTTTTTTCTGTGACAGAAGGAAGGACGAATCAATATTGAGAAGATATTACATTATTTCGAAATCTGAAAATTATCGACATGAAATTTCAAGTTTTTAACAGTAGGGACACCTGCGTTTTATAGGCATCTTCATCATTCTTTTGAAGTAATCAAATATCTGATGTCACTTCTGTCAGTTCAATTCTGTGATTTGATTTCGAAAAATTGCGAATTCAGTAGTTGTTTAGTAATATACGAAACCGCGAAGTCGAATGGAAGATAAAAGGACTTGCAGTTCTTTCTCGGAGACGGTATTATTGACTCATTTTTCAGAACTATAGCACAACAAAAGCCATTAACAGAGTATATATATGTGATATATATCCGGGAAGAAAGTACTCACTTTTTTCCCACGGGAAAAAAGTAATTTATGAAAAGTGACATTTTATAACCTGCCAACAGAGATGAAATGCCAAACTTTTTTCCCGTCACAGAAAAAAGAAATATTATAGCATCAAATGATTGTACGTTATACTGCAGCACGTCAACTATAGACACGACTCCATCCACTTGTTCGACTCCTCTTCTTCTTCAACGGGTTCACATTTCCTTCCACTAGATCGTGTGAGGAGCACCGAAAAAAGGTCTGGAAGTATCATCCCAAATAATTTCTTGATATGATGCATTTCCATATACTCATCAGCTGAATTCCATTCAGTAGAATACACAAAATTGCAATTTTATATGTAAAATAGGACTGACTGCATCTGAGAGATGCTTCAAAACGTATCAAGTCATCATGATGTATAATTTTCATTATTATTATCATTATTATTATTATTTATAATATTGTGAATGATGTTATTGAGATTTTCATGTTCTGGATATTATGTACTTGAATAAAAATGAATACTGAAATTCCCTACTGATCACTTTCATCAATGAACCAATTTGCATAGAGTCCATTAAAATGGACGTGTCATATAAAAAAAATCTGTTGTAAAAAAAAATATTCGTCATGAGTTATCATTCTTTGGGTATATTTGAATGAGTCAACATCTTCAGAATATAGAGATTTGAAAAAAGTAACTTCATGCACTAATGGGTTAAAATATCTGTTTGTCAGATATTCTTTGATTGGACAAGGTGTATTAGGAGTGTGAAGCTAATTGATAGTGAACATATTAATTCTATAATTTTCGAGAAAAATATGACACTTCTCAAAACTGACGGATGTTTTGGAACGTCCTATTTCAGGTATAACCAGTTGCGTAAACTAAACTGATGTATCATAACTGGTGAAGTGATATTCATTATTGTGTCACCCGAATTCCTGTTAAACGCGATATTTTGACAGATGAAGAAAACTTCGAAATAACGAATGAAATATTGTACTTACAAAATTCCCGATATAATTTCTTTTGGGGCGCACGAAAGGAAATTACTATGATGTTCGAAGAACATCGTGCGTACCTAGGGAAACTAGGAAGAGGATGTAGGCTTTGGGATTTCTCCTGAACTTTTGGAGGCTATAAGTTCTTGGGAATGCTTCTATTGGAAAAAAATAATAAACCTTCGCGTACGAGTGTTGAGTTTTGTTCGTTATATTTCATTGAAATTATTAATCTGATCAATTATTCACGTGATACATCTTTATAGGGCCATGTAATTTTGTGTAGCGATTAGGTTTTGGGGAACGAGAGCGCCTCCTAACTGGTCACTTAACTATCTGAATATATTTTTGTGATTCCAGGTGGAACAGTTATCAGAGCCATCGACGAAGATCTCCCGGAGAACTGGCTCTTTCCTAGCGCTGCCCCAGCCCCTCTGGAACTCGAGACGCATTCCGGAGCTAGAGCGTCACTAATTTCTTCACATTTCATTCTGTCGCTGATGCTGGTCTGTCTACTGAGGTGACACACGGGTCGGTATTAGTCAACAGGAGACGAGTTCGTGTGTAACTGAGCTGAACGTTTTATTATGGATGAGGTCACAGCTCTCTGGAAATTCGGAGGGTGTCTAGCTGTGCTAAGAGATCTGATGTTGGTCTGTCTACTGAGGCGACACACGGGTCGGTATTAGTCTACAACGGTCTAGAGAAGACGAGTTCGTGTGTAACTAGGTCAACGTCCAACAAAAGTTGGACAACGCTTTATTGTGTATAAGGTCACAACTGCTGAAACGCTAGATAGTCTTTAACTGTACTGAGAGATCTGGCAACGCCGCATCACGAAATCTGAAAGAACTGGAAGGCCATTTTAAGTCTGAGGAATTCACAAAATCATATACAAGCCTAGAATGCCAATACATACGGCTGCGCGAATACAAAATTACACACTTGAAATATGGGTTCAATAGATAAGTTGGTGTGCACTTCTGAGTCTGAGCATCACGACATTGACGTCAAATCTGGAATGTCTTATGTCATCGAGGGGAGTATCATGGAGGCAATATGAAGAATGCATAAATTCCTCATAAATAATGTCAGAACAGTTATTTTCGAGAACATATAAAACTATAATATTATTATGATGCAGTGACCATTTTACCGAAAAATTTCACGGAACAAAAAGTTTGATATATCCACTTGTGTATGAAATAAAGGTCGTTTTTGTCATAACTGTCAAATCGAGTGCACATCAGGTCTGGTTCTGGTCACAATCACAGTCACATTTCACAATAGTTCGCAGAATGTTGTGGTTTCAGGAGATTTCCAACCGATTCATTTCATGAATGATATATCATGTACATAAACAGAATTTTGGGGGCTGGTCCTGACTTCATTCGAATAAAGTATTGTCACGAGTAGAACATACGGTATATCAGTAATTTCGAACCATGAGGGTTTCATAAACATAAAGTAAATCAAATCATCCGTTGACATTGAATTATAAAAACTGACCAAGGAACTCTCATGAGAAACGTGCATATCTAATAAAATGTTGTATATAAATATTGGATGTGAGGGTTCTGACGTTAGTCTGGTCTGGGGCTACTCTTGACTTGACAAGAGCTCGTCGTAATGGTCATTATAATGTAAGTTGTTATTCGGTCTTTATATCCATTGTTGTTTATTCATATTTTATAATCACTTCACCCATAATGTTTCATGCTATAATAAATATTATTATGTTTGAATGTAGACTCGTACTTTCAGTTACCCCTAAACTATTAGTGCCTATTTGAATATTTCCTCTCGCAAAAGCCAAGCATTACCCCTTAATAAATCCATAAAGATGATTTAACCATCTCCTTTTAAATCGTGACATAGAGTGAATCAACTCTTTTGTCGTGACCCAGATAGGCATGCTAAAACCATCTCGGTGCCTTCACCATGTCACAACAAAAGAGTTGTGTTTGTTAGAAATATATTGATATTTTTCACAAAGTTTTTGTATGGGTACAGATGGTTTTAGCATGCCTATCTGGGTCACGACAAAAGAGTTGATTCAATCTTTGTCACGATTTAAAAGGAGATGGTTAAATCATCTTCATGGATTTATAAAGGGGTAATGCTTGGCTTTTGCGAGAGGTAATATTTAAATAGGCACTAATAGTTTAGGGGTAACTGAAAGTACGAGTCTACATTCAAACATAATAATATTTATTATATCATGAAACATTATGGGTGAAGTGATTATAAAATATGAATAAAGAACAATGGATATAAAGACCGAATAACAACTTACATTATAATGACCATTACGACGAGCTCTTGTCAAGTCAAGAGTAGCCCCAGACCAGACTAACTTCAGAACCCTCACATCCAATATTTATATACAACATTTTATTAGATATGCACGTTTCTCATGAGAGTTCCTTGGTCAGTTTTTATAATTCAATGTCAACGGATGATTTGATTTACTTTATGTTTATAAAACCCTCATGGTTCGAAATTACTGATATACCGTATGTTCTACTCGTGACAGTATTATCATTCATTGACCATTCTAGAACACGCGATTTTGACATGGTTTCTTGAGGGGCATACGAACTATCTGTTAGGTTACCATCGATGAGCATTGCCCTGGCCATCTCTGCCACATCCACGATATAATTACAGTTTCCCCAAAAAAAATTATGGAATTTCTTCTGATTCCAACTTGGATTTCATGGAAAACGATCCCACTCACTCTGGTTTTATATGAAAAATCTTGAAAGAATACAATGTTTACCCCTCAGCAACCTGTCCCCCGCTAGCTCAGAAGTGCACGTGCGCGATATCAATTTGAGTCGATGATTGTTTCATGCATTGGCATCATAGGTAAGTGTATAAAGGGTGATTCAGGTTCTGGGGTACAAATTGATAGATGTCATAATTTTAATAATAAAAGTTTATATTCGAATATTTTTTTCATCAATTGCCATATCTCGCTCACTTCCTGAGATATTATTTCGAAATCGTGTGTGGTAAATACTTTTCATATGAAAGATCATCATTTGAACCATTTCATGAATTCTCAAATTTCACAGGGTGATACGATTTTGGGGGAAGAGGCTCCTTTCCCCCAAAACTTTTTCATAGTTCGTCTATGACATCTTCCGGTTACCAAATCTTGAGATATTATTTCGAAATTGGGTGTGGTAAATACTTTTCATATGAAAGATCATCATTTGAACTATTTCATGAATTCTCAAATTTCACAGGGTGATACGATTTTGGGGGAAGAGGCTCCTTTCCCCCAAAACTTTTTCATAGTTCGTCTATGACATCTTCCGGTTACCAAATAGGGTGGATCGTTCAGTTTGAAGGATTTCTCGTTCCTCAATTCATTTCAAGAAACGAACTGTTCTCAAGATAAATAGGCCAATTTTTTTCATAACATGTTGATTTCGCCAGATTTTGCCTGTTCTGCTTCAATTTTATTCTTTGACAAAATGTGGGTAGGAGGTCAGGTTAATTGCTTCTAACGACATGGAAAATTCGTATTAGATAACTGATGGTTAAGCCCCACCCAGTTGGATCTAATATCTCCTGCAATATGATGAAATTGAAATGGAAATTAATATTCATCCTGTCGAGAAAAGTGTACGGTTCCAAAGGATATTAGGAAGGTAATAAATAATCAAATGCTATGTGAATTATTGAACCTTACTATACCATAGATCTGATGAATGTAGCTTTATCAGTCCACAATACATATTCCACTATTCGTCATTGTCAATATTGTAAACGTATTTTGTCCAAGAATAAAATTCTATAGAAGAGAAATAGATAGAATTAACATGTTTCAGAACGGATCTCGGAATCGGTGTATTTCTAGAAAAAAATTGAGGTGTATTGAAAACCTGAATCACCCTGTATAATCCTGTAGAGAAATAACATAAATCCGATACCACCAGTGTACTTCGTATACATGTGATATCTCACATGTGATCATGCGCATACATTATCGACATTATTGCCAGATATACAAGGTGTTTCTGAAGTACGTGTAAAGATTCAGGAAAATGTTGCTGACGTCAAAATGAGAAGAAAAGTTAGTATGAACATGAGTGTCTCCAAGTTGTTCGATTGCTATAATTTTTTCAGGGGGATATTTTTGGACCTATATATGTTTATATGAACTTTGTCTGTGTCATTTCGGGACACCCTGTATATCAGTCATGAATATATACATATAATAATCATAGTTCTCTCAATTCCTCACCGAGAAGGGCAAAAAAGTTGTTTTAAATCATGGAAGAAGGAGGGAATTTTCTAAGGTATCAAATCATGTATATTCAAAAATCCAATCATCTTTCGACTGTTGTAGAAAAATAATGTAAACAATACATTAATGAAATGTTAGTTCGCTTGCAAGGTTCGAAATCCTTTTCTACTTGTGTGAAGTGTTCAGCACTCCAATGACATGAACAACTATATTTGAAGTCGATAGTGTAAGATATAAATAAGGAATATTATAAAATTATCTATCTAGATTGATATTTCCCCACACAGAGCGATTCAGTATTTCGAAGAATTGATTTTGATTTGTAGTATTCGTAATGAATGAGTTGCTCAGCCAAGACTGCTTTATTATAATATATATGTAGATGTAGTTCATGTGGAAATAGTGAGATATGATCAAAACGTTTTTTTTACTATGAAATAAGTACACATCGTATGAGTAAAGATATAAGAGAGTTCATGTACTGTATCTCAGTTGAAGGGTATCTTATCAAACTGACCTGACTGAATTCAGATCGAATGATATTCAATAGTTTTGGTTCTGATTTAGATATTAGTTTTTCCATACTGGAGGCAAGCATATAATGATATATTGCTACAATTTCAGTATGGTGTAGGTACTACGGAGAAATCACTGAAATCTAGTTACTTGAGCAATCAAGAGTAGTGTGAACATGACCCATATCTATGTTTTAGTTGTCGCAGTTGATTTGACTCAAATCATAAATGGTCGATTCGAAATTATTTCTTCATGGAAGGTTGGGGCATATTTTATGCAAAATTCATCAGAATAGACAAATTTACGGAAGATTGCCAATGAAGAAGTTGCCAAATTACTAGGGTCGAGAACTCACTGATTATTTTGGACCTATGTCATTGTCCTGGTATATTGACCATTTCGAGTAGCACAGGCCTTCTCTATGTTTCTTCAAATACACTGTCACGACATCAATCAAAAAATCTCTGAATCAACGAAATGTTGCTGCTGTACTTTGGATACTCATCATCGAATCAAAAGCATGTCAACAATAGGATACAAGTAATTCTACTTATTGGTTTTCATATGTTCTGTGGCACTTCGCAATATTGAATATTGTGACCAAAGAGTAGACGCCTTTTCTAGTTTCCTCAAAGTAAACTTTCCGAAAAAAAAATATTCTTGTAGTTTTTTTTTCATTCCATAAATTTTTCATCTTTTTTCTTGAAAATTCCGGCGCATAGTCTAACTTTTGCAGCTTTTTCCATC